AGTATATAAAGAATCATTGTATTCTTGCGGAGCCCCGCGACCATCGGAATTTTTCCGACACTTATTGGCATCGATCCTCTTATCACGCGCGCGGTAACCCGAACTGCACGTCAAGTCGAAGTCCTTTTTATTTTTAGCCGTGCCATTTTGGCATGCCGCCCTGCAGATTTGCCGCGTTCTGTCCAACCATAATGTGCTTGACCACGAAAATAAATTATCATTGGCATATTAGTGTTGCGTCCCTTGAGATTTTCTTAAGAAATCATCAAATGACACTGGAAACTGAATACTGGTATATTCAGGAACGGGAGAGCCGCGCAGTTTCAGGTAGTTTTTTTTTTCCAATTATCATCTCGGCATAGCTGCTTTTCCCAAGTATACCTTTACTTGAACGTTGACCGCGACTGACGTGGCGAGATTCGCGATCGGACGGATCGCGAGAACGTTCCGTCGAAAGGGCGCACAATTCGTGCTTTTCGTGTAAGGGTCAAGATCGCCGCAGATTGCATTCAAGTGCAAGCGTCAAGCGAATTTCCCTGGTGCTATACGTAATCGCGTTGCCACTACTTTACGTAAAAAATAACGTGCAGCGCGCGCTATCAGGCGCACGATGATAAGAGCGCGCGACGAGAAACGATCTTTGAACCGAGCCTCTCGAATTTAAAGGTGCACTACGACGATACCGCGACGTAATGTGCAATCTTCTTCGTTTCTTCTTTGATATAAATCCAGGAATAAAACGGAAAAAATACATTTTTTTTTTCAATTTTGGATTTGAATATATTAATTATTATATCACATTTACTATATTATGTAATATCGTAATTTATATTATGTTATTTATGTAATCATTATATTATGTAATATAAATATATTATGATGTAGTGTTTTATAATTTAAACTTGTCGAAATGCCATTCGTTTCTCCTTTGATATAAATCTACGAATAAAACAGCAAAAATAAATTTTTTAAATTTCAGATTTAAATATATTATTTATATATCATATTTATTTATGTTATGTAATATAATAATTTATATTACGTTATTTATGTAATTATTAATTATGTTATTTAAATATATTATAATGTAGTATTTTATTATTTAAACTTGTCGAAATATTTCACAAAATTCCATGTTTCTTGATATTGCGGTGCATTGTTTTTCATTCTTCGTGCTTTTTACCTCGATGTGCCAACTGCCAGCTAGTTAGATTGTTTTTTTTTCTGTTATTTCACGTGAATTTGCATTCGAATATTTCTCCGTGCAGCTTATTTTTTCAAAAGATTAATTACTTGCCGATGTTCTTTTTGTTTTGTCAGCGTGTTCCATTGTGTAATACTTTGTTGGGTAACCGTCCTGTGCAATAATAATTTTGAAAGAAAGATGAGAATATGGAAATTATTAAAGGATAATTTATGGCTCTCAAGCGGAATTTGTTCCGAAGGAAAATACATATCGACAATCTTTATAGACTTCTCGTGTGACAGTTTATCTTTTAGATCAGACTACCGCACGTCTTATCGCGTCATAACTTCTTTTGCTAAGTTATTTAACGATACTCCAGAGACGAAGAACAATCAGTAATTAATAATTAATAAACTGAGTAATTATCGTCTGTCGACGTCTGAGATAAACAAAGGTATAAAGTTCGATATAAAGTTTTTTACGGAATCTAATTTTTTTCTAATGAATTACTTAAATACTCTCATATAAGTATAAAGTTTAGTTATACAATTAAGATCCGGATATTTCGCTATCCTCCAAATTCTTTGATCTATCGATAAAAATATCTAAGCTTGTTCCGAATTGCTCCGAATCCTTTTAATCTATCGATATAAAAATATCTAAGCTTGTTGCGAATTGATTCTAATCCAACCAGAGCCCCATTATTTTGAGCCGCTCGTCCCAGCGCTCGTCGACATTCTCAGTCTTGACTTCCACTCTTCACCACGATTTAATTACTTGCAAAGTGCCGCGTCACCTGCCTATCTACATTCTACCTACGCCCGTCTAAAGGAGTTCTCCTTCCCGCCTGCAACGCGTCCGACGACGCCGGGCAAAGATAAGCGGGCCCCGGACGGGCGCATCACGTGACTTTCGCCTCGCTTTGACAGGGGGAATAAAAAGAAAGAATTAAGCAACCTCGAGATCGGCCGGCGTATCTGACGAGAACGTGCCGTAATCCGGAGTCACGTGGCCTGCCGATGTCCACGCACCCGCACGCGCGTGCTGCCACATATTCGCGATTACATTGATAACGGATTCGCTCTTCCACCTTTCCTCGTCCAACAGCCTCGACATTTCCGTCGCGTATCGCGTCCCGCTTATCGCTCGCACAGTTTTCGTTCCACAACTGCATTTTTTTCTACCGCTATCTTCGCCATCATTACTGATATTCATCATTCTCATGAACGTTATTATCGATATATGCAGGGCTAGGCAAAATACACCATTAAAGTATTTAAAATACAAAATACAAAATACTAGGAATCTTAGTATTTGAATTACAAAATATAAAATACTTTTAATCTTTTGATTTGAAATACAAAATACAAAATACTTTCAATCTTTCGATTTGAAATACAAAATACTTTTAAGTTTGTATTCGAAATACAAAATACTTCTTTGAAATACAAAATACTTTTAAATTTAATCTTTCAATTACAATAATATATAGTATTAAACTCCCCGCTTCAACAGGTCTTTCTCCACTTTTAGAAAGAGAGAGAAAGAAAAATTGTTTTACTCTCTTACATTTTTTAATAGTATCAATCACACGAGAAATCTATTTACTAATGTGAGATTATGAAATTTGAATCTGATGACTTGATATTGCTGGAAACTTGACGAAAATAATTAGTGTCATATGAGAAAAATTTAAGTTACTCTTAATGGTTATCAAGAATTTTTATCAATAATTTTTTTAGTATTTCAAATACAAAATAGATTGAAATTGTATTTGAAATACAAAATACATTGAATAATTTATTTGAAATACAAAA